TTGCCAGACTTTAGGGCGGTGTGAATTAAACTCCATCCCATCTCCTTGTGGGTCACTCACTTCTTTCCTCAGGTCACTGTTCCCCAGTATATCCTCCATTTTTGCCTTTCCAACCACCCTTGCCAACAGTGCCTTCAGATCCCCCACAGCCAGCAGTTTCCCCATGGTTTGTTCCTCAAAAATCCTTATCCATTTTCCTGCCCCATCATGCAAATCTGGCAGACGGGCAACCAATCCTTCCAGGTCCTGTGATCCCCATGGAACATAGTGAGCCTGGGTACCTTTTATTAGAATTGGATATTGTCCCTTGTATTTTTCAGGTCTTCTCAATGTTCTCCTATTCCGCAATCTTTCTTCCCTTACACCTTGATTGCAATCTCCCCATATTTCAGCTGCTGCTCCTTCTTCCTCCTCTAGCTCTCTGCCTGTACGCTGTCTTACCTCACTTTGCTCCCTCTCTTTTTCTTCCTTTTCTCTCAACATTCTCCTCATCCTGTCCATTTCTTTCTCTATTAGTTTGTTTGTTGCTTCAATATCTGCCATTTCTTCATCTGAGAGTTCTCCATCATCTCTCTTCGTCATCATCATTCTTCCCAATGCTTCCCTCAGCTCTCCATAGCAGTCCAATCTGTTTGGCTTGATTTCTGCCCTTCGCATGATTCCTTCTGTTTTCTTTGAGTCTTTTTCCATCCTTTGGGAGGATGTAAACAAAGGTCTTTCTTCTTCCATTTCTATTTCTCCTTTCATTGATATTACTCCGGACACCTGTGGATATTGTCCACCAACATATGGTGGATGTCCCACAGACCAATCTGCTTTCTTTTAGTTTGTTTTCTCATCATCTTTTCTCAACATGTTTCTGGCTTCTTGCATGTTCTTTAGTAATCCTTCTCCTTCCATTTTGAACATGATGAGTACTTATTTTTCTCTTTCTTTTTTGGCGCTTCTCTTCTTTCCTGTGTTTTTTGCTTGATGGTTCTTTATCAGTGTTTCCATTTCCTCACACACCGAGACATCAAATGTTCCTCCTTCTGGCCATTTAGTGCCCATTTTCCTGGTGCGTTTCTCCCATTTTGTCAGATGTTTTCGCTATTTCTTCCTTGCCTAAGGGATACCTAGCACTCAGTATTTCTACCGCCGTTTTATTCATATTTATGGTCTATATTTTTTACTTCCTTTTTAATCTAGTTTAGTATTTGTCCTATTTATTTATTTCTCCTTCTTAATTATTTTTATAATAGTATTCACTCTTATTGTTAAACTATTTGTGCCTCTTTGATTATTGTTTGGTCGGAACTTATTTATTATTAATGGGCATTTGACGGTCTCTTTATATAATAATAATATCTCCTAATATCCACTTTTCCTTTGTGTGGACACCTCATGAATCTTACACTTGCTAGTGTTTTATTTTAGCTTTAAATCACTCAGCTATATTCTTTATGTAATAATAAAATAATGTCTTCTGATGTCCACTTTTCCTTTGTGTGGACACCTCATGGATCTTCCCCTTGCTAGTGTTTTATCTTAGCTTTAAATCACTCAGCTATATTCTTTATATAATAATAAAATAATGTCTTCTGATGTCCACTTTTCCTTTGTGTGGACACCTCATTAATCTTCCCCTTGCTAGTGTTTTATCTTAGCTTTAAATCACTCAGCTATATTCTTTATGTAATAATAAAATAATGTCTTTTGATGTCCACTTTTCCTTTGTGTGGACACCTCATGAATCTTCCCCTTGCTAGTGTTTTATCTTTAGCTTTAAATCACTCAGCCATATGTGTGTTCCTACCCCTATGAGCATCCACACACCATTCACTCTTTCTCTCCTGTTGTGAGACCGGGTGCGTCCCTCCTACCAGTTTACACTTAAGTAACGGTCCAGGAAAGGTGCGTCAACCCTTCCCCACCAAGGACAGAGATTTTCACACTCACTTGCACTCTCACTCTTTCACACACTTTTCTAAGTTACCTGTAAACTTAACCCACTCTTGATACACTTCCTCGACACAAGAAAACAGTTTTATACAGGATTTCTATTTATTTAGCCCCCTAGGTGATATACTTCCTCGACACACCTGGACTTCTACCTATCCTACGCTTTCCTAAGCGACCTGTAAATTCTGCCCTTCTTCTCTGATTCACTTCCTTGACACAGAGAAAAAGCGATATTTATACAGGATTTCACCTACCTAAGCAGTCCTAAAAAACTATTCACTTCCCGACACGTTTTAAAGCGGTATTCGTAGGAATGTCTAACATGTTATTCTCTAATCGCTCAACCAGATGGAGAGCCGCCCGTGCCGAAATGACGCAGACAAAGTGATCAACAAGATTAATCAAATGAATCGACCGAATCGAACAGACACATCAGATGAGCAGCCGAGCGACCCCGATGATTGAATGCACGAATTGAGCAATCGAATCAAACAGATCGATCAGACTGTCCAGATGAGCAACCTGAATGAGACAGATTAATCATCCAACTTGACCACAACCAATCAAATCACAATGGATTAAACAGAATGACCAGCAGAACGAACAATTGAATCAAATGACTTGAACAAACGGTTCAGACGAACAACCGAGTGACATCGACGAGTACAAGACGCGTCAAACCATCGGTCTAGTCAAACAGATGCATTCATACTGACCAAATTATCAACTCAAACGAGACAGATAACCCACCCCACTCAATCACAATGACTGACTCACACCAACCCAAGCAGACCATCCACCTACCGAGCAGATCTACTTAAACTATTTTCTACTTATTGCAACCCTCGAGGCTTTTCATCATTTAACATGCATTTTAAATCCAAAAGCTCCCAGTCTCTAATTTTCTGGTTCTTAAATTTGCAGAGACCTACTTGGTTTTCTGCAGCTGAGGCCGGGCCCCGGATCGAACCACACAAACTTTATACTATATAAGTAAGAACTTGGCTTACCTTTTTTTTAAAGCGGCCGTTTTTGTTTGTATGGTCCGTCCAACCCATTTCACAACTGCAGATGTACACCGTCTCTGGTCCCTGTTTTTCAACTCCTGGCAAAGCTCGCCAAATATGTTGTAGAAATATTTGACTCAAAAGTAGTCAACTCAAAAATATCTCTCAAGAGACTGGAGCTTGTGAATCCAAAAATTAGACTTTATTATTTGCATAACAAAGCCGAGCTTGCCCCATGAAACAACTGTCTCCCTTTGGCTTACAGCTCCCTTTTATACACACAAATGCAAAATCATGTTTACATAGCATACAATTACTCAACTTAGGGCAAATTATTAACTTATTTTAGTGCCACTCTACCCTTATCTTTCAACGTCCAGATGTCACATGTGGCTTACTCCAAAAGGCCAGGGGCGCTTTTCCATATGAGGCCTCTTCCACTTATCTCATTATATTGGTGGCAGACCCTTTCTCAAAAATAATACACATACATACATTAAGGTATGGTTACACACTGTATTGGCTATATTATTTATTTAAACATACATCTGGATTATAGAATGTCAATCATGTTTACTATATTTTACTTTTGACATTTCCCAACATTTGCCTTAATGATACATAAAATATTACCGTATATCACATTTACATAACTATTCAGACCCTTTACTCAGTACTTTGTTTAAGCACATTTGGCAGCGATTACAGCCTCAAGTCTTCTTGGGTATGACGCTACAAGTTTGGCACACCTGTATTTGGGGAGTTTCTCACATTCTTCTCTGCAGATCCTGTCAAGCTCTGTCAGGTTGGATGGGGAGCATCGCTGCACAGCTATTTTCAGGTCTCTCCAGAGATGTTAGATCGGGTTCAAGTCCGCGCTCTGGCTTGGCCACTCAAGGACATTCAGAGACTTGTCCTGAAGCCACTCCTGCGTTGTCTTGGCTGTGTACTTAGGGTCGTTGTCCAGTTGGAAGGTGAACCTTAGCCCCAGTCTGAGGTCATGAGTGCTCTGGGGCAGGTTTTCATCAAGAATCTGTTCATCTTTCCCTCGATCCTGACTAGTCTCCCAGTCCCTGCCGCTGAAAAATATTCCCACAGTATGATTCTGCCACCACCATGATTCACCGTAGGGATGCCAGACGTGACACTTGGCATTCAGGCCAAAGAGTTCAATATTGGTTTCATCAGACCAAAGAATCTTGTTTCTCATGATCTGAGAGTCCTTTAGGTCCATTTTGGCAAACTCCAAGTGGGCTGTCATGTGCCTTTTACTGAGGAGTGGCTTCCGTCTGGCCACTCTCCCATAAGGGCCTGATTGGTGGTGTACTGTAGAGATGGTTGTCCTCCTGGAAGGTTCTCACATCTCCATAGAAGAACTTTGGAGCTCTGTCAGAGTAACCATCGGGTTCTTGGTCACCTCCCTGACCAATGCCCTTCTCCCCGATTGCTCAGTTTGGCCGGGTGGCCAGCTCTAGGAAGAGTCTTGATGGTTCCGAACTTCTTCCATTTAAGAATTATGGAGGCCACTGTGTTCTTGGGGACCTTCAATGCTGCAGACATTATTTGGTACCCTTCCCCAGATCTGTGCCTCGAAACAATCCTGTCTCTGAGATCTACAGACCATTCTTTCGACCTCATCGCATGGTTTTTGCTCTGACATGTACTGTCCTTATATACAGGTGTGTGCCTTTCCAAATCATGTCCAATCAATTGAATTTACCACAGGTGGACACCAATCAAGTTATAGAAACATCTCAAGGATGATCAATGGAAACAGGATGCAACTGAGCTCAATTTTGAGTCTCAGAGCAAAGGGTCTGAATACTTATGTAAATAAAAGGTATTTCAAAAACCGGTTTTGTTTTGTCATTATTGTGTTTAGATTGAGGAAAACATTTAATTTAATCACTTTTAGAATAAGGCTGTAACAAAATGTGGAAAAAGTCAAAGGGGTCTGAAAACTTTCCGAATGCACTGTAATTGCCTTAATCTTGTTTGGAGCCCTGCTTCTTTGGCAGCAGCTAATGGGGATCAGTAATAATTACAAATACAGGCATAGGTGTTGAATGTCTCCATGATGCACCGAACAAAAAAGGTGCACATCTGTTTATTTCTGTAGGATACATTATCTGAAGGTGGTGGGAATATAATGAGGGTTTACTCAAAGTCATTTACAAACAATATATTGCTTGAGAATGTGTTAATATGACCCACTAACCTGGTGTGCAGGACAGAAGGGAGATTAAGTCCTTATTTTTGTGCTCCCTGCTGATTGAGTCACTCTCTAACCCCAGGTCACTGCTGGGCCCAGGCACTACGTCACTGACCCAAACAGAACCGTCCTTGCCTGAAACAACTTGCAAATCCTCTTTAATATGGAGGCATTCTACTCAAATTAAAGTCAGTACAAAAGGTTTAAATATATTTTGGAAACACACTTTTGAGCTCACTCACCTCCCCTGCAGACCTGAATGAGGATGACTTTGAAGTTGTTAATCAGGGATTTGCCATTCTCTGTGTTCAGGTGTGTGAAGATGTTGATGAGGAAAACTTCAGGTTTAGGATACACTAACTTGTATTGGAAAGTGGCGCGTATTCATGGATGCCAAGGGAAGCCAGGCATCCCAAAACATCTGACCAAGAAAAAAAGAAAATAAACATATAAAATAATTGATCATTCGTCGCGTTTCATAATTGTCCTTCAATTCTCAAGAAGCTGAATGTATCTCACCGGAGAAAGCATCCGAGCAAGCGAAACAGCACCCCTCTGTCTCTGTATGTGTAGCCCATATATCTGATGCTGTCAGGTCAAAAAGAGTATGATATTGTTGCCGCCCATAGCATTGAATGCAAGGGAAGCCAATGAGCATTTATAATAATAGCCAATCAGCGTTGGGCTAAACTGAGTGAGCTCAACTGTGAATGGTCATTAACCAGGTTTCCATCCAACCATTTCATACAGATGAATTACCTGACGCATGAAAAAGTCACGACCGGGCTGATGGAAACATGAAATGCCGGTACAAATTTATAAATGCCGACAGACAATTTGTTCGTTCGACATGGTAGGATCCTTTTGTGTCAGTAAAATGAATTCTGTGAGAAATTGCGGTGGAAATGCCTTGATGTGCAAATATAGATATAATAACCATCAAATCGAAGTAAACTTGGAGTCACACAATGATATGTTGTGTGGTTCTCCCACTAAGACTCGAGAAAGCATGTTGTTTATTAGGCTACAGATCAAATAAGGTATGATGAACTTCACAGGGTGGTGAATGTGCAAGGTGATGAGCTTGATGCTCCTTCCCAATAAATATAGTGTCTCATTCTGGTGACATAGTGATCAATGATTGGCTGCCATTTGACAAATACAAATAATATCGTTCTTATCCATAATAATCTCAATGTGGTAACACTGTATCTGCGACATGTTGGCTAGTGCGCTCATACCAAGACCAGAGTGGGCACATTTGCTGTATAACATGGACATTTTACGGCACAACATATTTTTATGTGCACAATTTCATCACTCATAGCCTTTTATTCGCAAAAAGTACGTTTGATGGAAACACATATCTCATGGGAAAATTAGCATATTGTTTTATTCAGATTTTAGAATATTTGCATGAAAATGTGTTGCAAATTGGATGGAAACCTATCTACAGACAGACAAATGTTGAATTGTTGCATCTCATTAAGTTGTTCTACTCCGGTGGCTAGCTAGCTAGCTAAAATTGGCCTTTTCCAAAATTAGCCATGGATGGAGATAGGAATTTGGACTTGTGGCTTTAATTAATTCTCCGTACTGGCCAATGATTATAACGGCAATTCTGATCCAACCATAAATTCATACATTGTGCCCCTGGCCTGAGAGGATGGAAGTTCAATATGTAGCTAGATGTAGTAGGCTAATGTTAACTAGCTGGCTTATCGTTGCCCATGAAAGGCAGTTAGGCTAGCGAGCAAGCATTTTAGCCAGGTAGTTGAAATATTGAAGCTGAAATGGTGTTGGAGTAGTGGAGGCAGCTCCTGTTTTCTTTGCGACTTGCGGTAACTCTCCGGTGTTCTAAATCACTAGTTGTTTAGTAATACGAAAATGTCGGAAACATTGACTTGATTGACCATATTGTAGGTCATGTCACTGTTTGTTACGTGCTTTGTGGGCTCCACCGGACAGCTGTTGCTCTCCGGTTTTGAATTTAGAGTAACACAAATTACTTTATTTCCTAATCTGTGACACTGACAGAGGAACCCCTGGGGGTTCATAAGCAAGCTCATTAGTGTAATAGGAGAACTATAAACTCAGAAGCTGGCAATTCTATTGGTGCACTCAGAAAACCGATACATGTACAGTACACAGATAATAAATGTTTGGAGAACCACTTTGACAACCAAGTAGAGCTCGAACCTCATGACCCTTTCTCTGAAGAATGTCCTCCTTAAAGTCCTTGGTGCTGGGGATGAGGACAGAGGACACTGGGTGCTCCTCCTGCTGTGATAACTAGGGCGATGATGGTGCTGCAGGGAAAATACAGCATGTTACACTCAATTTACAGTATCTGTTAAGTTCTTACTAATGCCAATCAAGTCTAAGACAAGTTTGTTACTGTGACAGATATCAATGAATGGGGCCAGACCACATTTGTCATGAAGTCCAGGATCTCTCTCCTGAACTCGGGCAATCATCTTCTCACTGGCTTTGCCCCCTTTCTTCCGCACCATATAGATGAGGTATCATGCCTGCTCTGCCCTAGAGCTGTTCTCCTCATAGTTCAGCACCTTTTCCTCCAAAAGGTCCAGGAGCTGCTTGATCACTGACTTCGACACACTGGCTATGAATGTGTTCTGAGTCTTGGAGTGCTCCTTGTCTGGTGAAAGTGAATGTAAAGATTGTTGGAGCGATATCTAAGTCTTATGCATCTGCTTTGTAATCTTCTTTGTAAGTGTATTCTACATTTCAATTTGTCCTTTAATGATGCAAGAAGCCATGATACATTTGTTAAATAATATTTTTGTTCATTTCTTACATGGTTAATGTGTTCACACAAACACACAGAGAAAGAGAGAGCGAGTGAGAGGAACATAACAGTGTGGGGGAGTTTGACTGTAGAATAATCTCAGCTCACCAAAGTCATAATTGCAGACAGGCAGGCCTGGACTTCTCTACACACACACACACACACACACACACACACACACACACACACACACACACACACACACACACACATACACACAGTCTAACTAACCTTGTGGGGGGACACAATTCAGTCGCATTCAAAATCCTATTTTCCCTAACACCTAACCCTAACCCTATCTCCAAACCCTAACACTAAAACTAACCCTAGCTCCTAAACCTAATTCTAACACTAACACTCATTCTAACCTTAACCCTAAACCACCTAGAAATCAGTGGCGGTCAGTGCCGTTTCAGATGAGGGAAACCATATTTTTTAATGAACATGGCTTTATTTCTATTACAGCATATTCGATGACTGTCGTTCATATTCCATTCACCCAGTTAAATGTAACAGCGATAGGTTTAGGCTACTAAATGATACTCTAATTTTCCCTATACCCATCATGAGGTTGATACAACCTAGCCTATGAATGAAAGTTCACAGTTTCATAGCAGCCATGTTGTATTCCTTCTCACATCTACGTTATGCACTCTCCTCCTTTCAACTCTTCCCTTCGCTTGTGGACTTCAATGCACAACACATGACCTGTATGTGACCAGGCGAAAAAATCTTTCCAAGCCAGACCGCTACACACAGCCTACATCGTTTTCACCATATTAGCTAAAGTAACATCATAGTCAGCATAGCTAATAGAACTAACGCGTTAGTAAACCCACTATAATCATGCAGTAACGTTACAGTGTACAGTCAGTAAGCAGTTACACCGGCAGGCCCTGGTGGCAATAAATTAGTAAAACCAAAAACGTACATTGACTTGGAAGAGTTCCAGTGTTTTGTTGGATAGTCATAGCCAGCTAGCTAACATAGCATCCCTCTGTTTGAGCAGGGTGTTTCAGCAGGCTAAACTAGCTAGCTGCATTTGCTAGCTAAGTAAGTGAAGCTGAAAAAAATGACCATCTCTCTCGCTCTCTCTCTTGCTTCTCCTTCATTTAGGAAAACATTAATTTGTTCAAAACTGTTCAATTATTTTATTTTTCTCACTTTGAGTCAACTACTCACCACATTTTATGACTGCAGTGCTAGCTAGCTGTAGTTTATGCTTTCAGTACTAGATTAATTGTCTGATCCTTTGATTGGGTGGACAACATGTCAGTTTATGCTGCAAGAGCTCTGATAGGTTGGAGGACGTCCTCCGGAAGTTGTCATAATTACTGTTGATAGAAGATTTGTATGTTTAAGGTAATGACTAAAGTATTCCACCCCGAAACTGTATAACTGTGTGAAATGTTAATAATATAATAATAATAATATGCCGTTTAGCAGACGCTTTTATCCAAAGCGACTTAGTCATGCGTGCATACATTTTTGTGTATGGGTGGTCATGTTAGAATCATAAGACTATAATCTGATGTGTGTAGCTTAGTTAGACATAGAAATAGACGAGATAACCATGTAGAAGCCTAATGGAAAAACACAGCCCGTCTAAGCAGGGAGTAGCCTATGATAAGAACTTGTGTGTGTGAATAAAAGGACTTCCTCTGCACTTTGGGGGCAGAGCACTCTCTGAATAAAAGACTGATCTATTGCAGACTGGGACTTTGTCTAATTCTTTATTAACCAGAGCCTTACAACCTCTGGGAATTATTCAAAGCTTGAGTGATAGTTGAGTTCAACCATTGAGATAGTTTTTTTTTTTTTTTTTTTTTAGATAGCAAAACTCTCGTGACAACTTGGTCCTTCGAGCCGGATCTCAATACCTGTTGCTGTCGTTCCAGGGAGCCCCGAAAACTGTGCACGGGCAGATCCAGGATCCGTATGACAAAGACCTGACCTCTGAAATTGAGGGTCTATTTCAGGCCGGTGGCGAACTGGTACATGACAGGAATGGTGACGAGATTCAACCTACATTGAAATCCCGGCTGCAAGGATAAGGTCAGTAATTTTTATTCATGGATTTTGGGGGATTGATATCTGGAAACTGCAGTAGAAGAACTTAACAGTTTAAATCTGCTGAAGTGAGGGTAGTAATTCGTCGATAATCCAAAACGGGGTCGTCATCCGGTATACTGTTTTTCGACGTTTATCTAGAGAAAACCATGCGCCAGTATTCTAGGTAAATATAAAACGGGGCGGGTGTAAGACCAGGAAGTGGGTCCGCAAAGACTCAAGGTAATAGGCCAATACCAATATAAACTAGTTAATATTGAGACAGTACAAGAATACAGTCAAAAAATATTTTAACAGGGAAATAATTATTGTCGCGTGAGGTAGATACATTAATCAGTCAAAAGTCATAAGAAACGGCAAAAATGGTCATGAAGATTACGTAAATCTGTATACGTGAGACCTAATTCTCCATCGAAAGTCGGGATAATTCATTGTTTCAAGGAAGGAATAATTGTTGACATGTGAGATAGATCTATTAATCAGTCGAAAGTCATAAGGAACGACATGAAAACTGTATTAGCAGAGGAATATTGCTGACATTTGAGATAGAGATATTAATCAGTCAGAAGCCATAGAGAACGACATTGATTACGGTACAGGTTATTACATTCGTATATGTGTGAAACCTAATAATTAGGGGTGTAACGATTCGTTTTAACAACGATTCGATTTGTATCACGATTCGTGGTTGTCGATACGATTCAAGGACGATATTGGTTCATTTAGAACGATACGATCCGAAACGATTCAGTGACTTGAAATCGATTCAGTAACCTTTTAGCCAAAAATTCAACCAGTGTGACTGAAATAAATACCTGGTAACCAGTTGCATTTTAATGGCTGGCAATAGTCTTGATATTTTTAACAGTGTTTCATGACTCCATGCAGACCATCTGGTATTATGAAACTTACCAAAAGTCTCACAAGTCCGTCTGTTATGGCCTGTGCGGTTTGGTCAGCACCCAATTCAATCAGTCCAATAAAGTCTGAAGTAAACTCTCCGTTGCTGGACACAGACACAATGTAAACTATTTCCTGCTCAGTTTTTGTGATGTCCTCAGATCCATCAAAAAGCATTCAGTAAATGAACATCCTCAGAATAGGAAGACATGGGACGTGCGTGTTTAGCTTTATGGAAAGAGAAAAATATTAAACAGAGCTTGCCGCTGTTCTTCAATCAGCTTGTCTCGCCATCTGGCAAGTGGGCGACTGGACATTTATTCTCGGCTAGCTTTTAGCAATGGCTTGCGCCACATTCGTGTGCTCCTTGCTCTTTTCATGTTTGTCAAATAAAGGATGGTTGAAATTCTTTGAGCCTTTATAAAATGCACCTGTTTTGTCTGCTAGATGTGGATTTGAGTGGCAAATCTTGCACCACATTTCAGTGCACTCATCGTTAGCTTCAAGCCACTTTTCCGAAAAAAGTATTTTCTTCGGCTCTGGCTCCAGTTGGCGTTTCTTTGTAGGTGGCGAAACGCCAAAGAAGCTGCTTAATGTCTGTTGCTTTTTGGACATCCCTGACAGTAGTTGACAAGCAACATGTCATGTGTAAGGTTAGATGAGAAGATCGGTCAAGTACGCAAAGGCGCGTAGTAACACAAGTGGCATTACGCATTCCTGATTTTTGTCGCGCTTGCGTATCTGCGTACCAGTTATGTGCACCCCTGCATATAAAGTCTGACGTGCTTAAATCCAATGGGTTATTTCCTAGTATCGATACAATCGATTTATTACATTTTAAAACGATGTTAGATCGATATATGTTGTCCAAAAGGCCAACTCGCCGAGCACAGATCGATGTAGTTGGATCATATGAATATAAATCGATACATCGATGTAGTAGATGGATCGTTACACCCCTACTAATAATCTATCAGAAGTCATAAAAAATAATTATTCAAGGTTCTCAGTTAACCGGGGATGAGAAATATATGGAGCCTAAGGATAAGAGAAACCTCCATTATGGAAGTAGGTGGAGGGAGAGGTATGGGTTTGAGGCGTGTCTAGACGTAGACAAACTTGAATCCATGGTAAAACAGATGTGAAAGGTGTGTGGAGACAGTGTAGGTAAACAGCAGGCAGAGGGGCTAGACACCGCTAGGGTGTGGCTCTCTGAAGCCTGGAAAAGAGAGGCAAGTGTAGAAAAGAAAGAGGAAAGTAACAAAGGGAAAGAAACAGTTCCTACAGCCCCGATAGACAGTCTACCTCTGGGAGGGAGGAAATTATATCCAGTTTAGCAGATCAGGCTCGGACAGGCAGCCATGATGATGAAGTGGTTGTAGTGAGACGGAGAAGGGCTCCCCCGCCCTCTGCCGAGTCCGAAGGTGACCTTGATGGGTTGGAAGCAGTAGGAGGAAGAGGGGGAAAGTAAGATAGAGAGCGAGAGACAGAGAGAGAGAGAGAGAGAGAGAGAGAGAGAGAGAGTAGGGAGGATGTAGGCAGACTGAGAAAAGAGCTGGAACGAGCAGTCCAGTCTATGGAAAAGTGTGAGAACCATGAGCCTCCTAGGTTTTGTATTGAAGTCAATGTACTCAGAGGAGGATGGAAGCTAGCTGTCCTACGCTACACGATGGTGCTACCCTACAGAGTGCTGTTGAGGCTACTGTAGACCTTCTTTGCAAAATAGTGTGTTTCAATCAATCATTTGGTGACATGATTATATTTAGTATAGTTTTATCTAAAAATGATAACTTTAATGTTTTTAATTTTTATGAAATTCCTCCTCTGAGGAGCCTCCACTGCTAGAAATAGCATTTGACCTTGTCATGACTTGCCCTCACGGGCTGAGGATCAAAGAGGCTGGCTAGGCAAAGGTTTGAACACCCCCTTTCCTGGGGGCCAGTTTTATGACCGGTCATAAATTCCTTGCAGAAACATTATTTTCCGTGCCATGCAGTATTGGGAGAGGGAATTTCCCTGTGGAACAAAGGAAGTCTTCCCGCCAAGACTCCAACATTCAAAAGTGGATAATGAAACAATATTCCTACATCAAATAATTGGGGAAATGGTCAGTGGGGACTTAAAGAACAATCATGTCAAATTCGTTACTATGTTGTGATGCCATTAAAGATGGTGGAACAACATAACTGTATCTCTGGGGGTGTACACTTCCCAGTTATGAGGTTTGCATCTAATTGTTGTATAAAACGAATGATTAAGTATAATAATACTTTTGTGAAGATAAATGTGATTTTAGCATTCTAGATGAGATTATTGTTTTCCATATTGATTTATTCTCAGTCAGTGGCCACGCCCCCAGATGAGCACAAACATGATGGAACACCCCTTTTACCCCAAGTACATAAAAGCCTTGAAAAACGAATTAACATTAGACCAGGAAGCGTGAAGCTGAAGCTACACGGCTTAAAATGGTTAGACCAAGCAGACTACGGTATAAGCCGGATGTTGCAAGTGGTTGAATTTCTACCAGACCAGCAGACATGACACGTGAGCTAAACGTTACAAAACGGTTAGACCAGAAAGACCAGAAAAAGTGAGACAGTAGTCCATACGTTTCAAATGGAGAAACTGAAACTCTCAAGCTCTACACGAGGTGAAGAAGAAGACAACGCACTAGACCTTATCATCTCAGTCTGCAGCTGGCATGTATAGTCGTCTAGAGAACTTTCACTAAAGACACGAGTTGGGAAGGACAATCCCTCTCCGACAACTGTTGGTACATCTGAAGTATCTATCTAACAGATAAACTCATCTAACTACAGGATATGCTGAAGTATCCATTCTAACCACCACTATGACCATAAACTCTACCAAGGACATTGGGATCTCTGGTGGGCAAGCCAGAGTCCTACATCATCAACTCAGATATTGAGGACAGCTACACGTAAATACATTTTGCATTTCTAATCTGAATGAGCGGGTGCTAAATATTTGTATTTCCATGAGTATAGCTTACAAATGTCCGATAGGTGAATTCCTTTGTCTCCCCCCCCCTCTGTCTGAATCAGCCAACCCTCCTTCTACCCAAGCATCCATAGGTCTGTAACAGTTTGGATCTAAAGTGTCACCCCCTTTGAAGAGGGGGATGACCGCGGCAGCTTTCCAATCTCTGGGGATCTCAGATGATACGAAAGAGACAGGCAAGTAATAGGGGTTGCTACAATTTCGGCTGCTAATTTTAGAAACAAAGGGTCCAGATTGTCTGGCCCAGCTGATTTGTAGGGGTCCAGATTGTGCAGCTCTTTCAGAAAATCTGCTATCTGAAATTGGGTAAAGGAGAAGCTGGGGGGCATGGGTAAGTTGCAGCGGAGGGTGCAGAGCTGGTGGCTGGGGTAGTGGTAGCCAGGTGGAAAGCATGGCCAGCCGTAGCAAAATGCTTATTGAAATTCTCGATTATCATAGATTTATCGGTGGTGACAGTGTTTCCTAGCCTCAGTGCAGTGGGCAGCTGGGAGGAGGTGCTCTTATTCTCCATGGACTTGTGTCCCAAAACTTTTTGGAGACAGTGCTACAGGATGCAAATTTCTGTTTGAAAAAGCTAGCCTTTGCTTTCCTAACTGATTGTGTATATTGGTTCCTGACTTCCCTGAAAAGTTGCATATTGCGGGAGCTGTTCGATGCTAATGCAGTATGCACAGGATATTTGTGTGCTGGTCAAGGGCTGTCAAGTCTGGGGTGAACCAGGGGCTATATCTGTTCTTAGTTCTGAATTTTTTGAATGGGGCATGCTTATTTAAGATGGAGAGGAAAGCACTTTTAAAGAACAACCAGGCATCCTCTACTGACGGAATGAGGTCAATATCCATCCAGGATACCTGGGCAAGGACAATTAGAAAGGCCTGCTTGCTGAAGTGTTTTAGGGAGCGATTGACAGTGATGAGGGGTGGTCGTTTGACCGCGGACACATTACGGAAGTAGCCAATGAGGCAGTGATCACTGAGATCCTGGTTGAAGACAGCGGAGGTGTATTTAGAGGGTAAATTAGTCAGGATGATATCTATGAGGGTGCCCATGTTTATGGATTTAGGGTTGTACCTGGTAGGTTCTGTCGTATAAATATTTGACTCAAAAGTAGTCAACTCAAAAATATCTCTCAAGAAACTGGAGCTTGTGGATCCAAAAATTAGATTTTATTATTGCGTAACAAAGCCGAGCTGCTCCATGGAACACCTGACTCTCCTTGACTTAAATATCTCATTTTATACACATACAAATGCATAATCATGTTTACATAGCATATACAGTTACTCCCCTTAGGGCAAATAATTAACTTATTTTAGTGCCACTCCAACCTTATCTTTCAAAGTCCAGATGTCTCATGTGGTTTACTCCAAAAGGCCATGGGCGCTTTTCCATATGAGGGCTCTTTCCCTTATCTCATTATATTGGTGGCATGGCTCAGACACTTTCTTTAAAAAATTATATACATACATTCATTAAAGCATGTTTACACACTGTATTGGCAATATTCCTTATTTAGACATGCATCTGGATTATAAAATGTCAATCATGTTAACTATATTTTACCTTGACATTTCCCAACATTTGCTTTAATGATACATAATTTATTTCCTTATATTCCCCCCCTTTGGGACTTCCAAAAAGTCCCAATAATTCAAAGATTAATTTTTAATGAATGTAAGCCTGTGCATTTACTTAGTCTTAGCCTTGCCATATGTGGTTACATTTTATATGCATATATTTAAACCAATGTATCTTCCTCATTGTCTGACCCATCACGATGAGGACAAGGAGCCCAGTCAGGTACTGGGTACAAGTCTAAAAGGTTTTCCTCTAAATTAACCACCAAGTTTTTCTGTTGAGCTTTGTAACCATGGCAGGCCCATCCACCCCCAGGAACAACACCATACAGACATTCAGAATTCCCAAATGGACAATCCATTGGTCCTCCTTTAACATTACAAGGTTTCCCATTTTCATTAACATACTGTCCTGGAGCTCTCTGAACTGAGTGTATTTCTTTGGCTGAACTAGTAACAATGGTCTGTACAGTCATTTGTTTTACTGAGGTTTGAATCAAAAGTGATTTTAACAGAGGTAGTATACAACAAAACACTATTCCCATCACTACTAATGATATACCTATCATTTTTGCCATTTTTGTAAGCATTGCACCCCACTTTCCCAAAGTTAAGTCCATCCAGTCCCAAACATGAGCATCATGCCCAGCATTGTCCTTTACCTCTTTTCGTAGTCCTTTGAGCTTAGTCATTGCTTCAGTGAATGAACCATCTGGGGCAGTGTTATTGGGGATAAAAGTACAACATTCAACTCCAAACATAACACAAACTCCACCTTTCTCCGCTAATAGCCAATTTAGAGCCTGCCTATTCTGCCATGCCATTCTACTAGTAGCCTGGAGTTGCTCTCCTAAAGCTGATAATGCAGAATCTGTATAATTAATAAACCTTTGTTGATTATAATAAACATAATTGATCCATTCTACGTTGGGTGAAATCCAGACAAATATTGATTCAAATCCTGCTTTAATTTAATTCCTCGCCTTATATTCATTCGGAATTCCTCTGGGTTGACCTATTGCATCTAAATATACATTGGGGTCATGTTCATATGCTCTTTTTACCTTTTTATTACTATTCTGTGCATCCCTATTTGTTGTTTTGTCTACCTCCCACTCTGATACAGTGGGGGAAAAAAGTATTAATAATTTCTCCCACTTAAAAAGATGAGAGAGGCCTGTGATTCTCATCATAGGTACACGTCAACTATGACACACAAATTGAGGAAAAAAAATCCAGAAAATCACATTGTAGGATTTTTAATGAATTTATTTGCAAATTATGGTGGAAAATAAGTATTTGGTCACCTACAAACAAGCAAGATTTCTGGCTCTGACAGACCGGTAACTTCTGCTTTAAGAGGCTCCTCTGTCCTCCACTCGTTACCTGTATTAATGGCACCTGTTTGAACTTGTTATCATTATAAAAGACACCTGTCCACAACCTCAAACAGTCACACTCCAAACTCCACTATGGCCAAGACCAAAGAGCTGTCAAAGGACACCAGAAACAAAATTGTAGACCTGCACCAGGCTGGGAAGACTGAATCTGCAATAGGTAAGCAGCTTGGTTTGAAGAAATCAACTGTGGGAGCAATTATTAGGAAATGGAAGACATACAAGACCACTGATAATCTCCCTCGATCTGGGGCTCCACGCAAGATCTCACCCCGTGGGGTCAAAACGATCACAAGAACGGTGAGCAAAAATCAGAGAACCACACGGGGGGACCTAGTGAATGACCTGCAGAGAGCTGGGACCAAAGTAACAAAGCCTACCATCAGTAACACACTACGCCGCCAGGGACTCAAATCCTGCAGTGCCAGACATTTGCTGTATCCTGTTTCATTACCATTTGTAAGTTTAACCCTGCCTTGTCTATAATTACCCCTTCGGAGGAACATCGAATTTGTATACCCATTTTGCATAGGGCATCTCTTCCCAATAGATTGACGGGTGTGTTCCGATACAATATAGGAAAAGTTGCAGATTTGACATCCGCTACCAGGCGAACTGGAGCTGTCATTGGAATTAACTGTGTTTGTCCCGAGATTCCTACAGTTTTGGCATATTTGCCAGACATGGGGAGGTGAGAGGCATAATTTGGATTTGCACAGGTGTAAGTGGCTCCAGTGTCGACCATCATGGGTGTGCCTCTGTTCTCTATTTGAACCTGCAGCATAGGTTCTTGATCAGCTTGTGTAGTTAGTACTGGAAACTGACCCTCCCCTGTAGGATTCTCTGGGCACCGCTAGTACCCCTGATTAGGCCCTGCCCATGGGTTCACAGGACCTTGGATTTGTTGCTGATTTTGTTGCCAGCCGTCAGTTTGCTTCCAATTATTTTGATTGCTGTTCCCCTGCTGTTGCCAGGGGTTTGTGTCACTCACTTCTCTCCTCAGGTCACTGTTCCCCAGTATATCCTCAATTTTTGCCTTTCCAACCACCCTTGCCAACAGTGCCTTCAGATCCCCCACAGCCAGCAGTTTCCCCATGGTTTGTTCCTCAAAAATCTTTATCCATTTTCCTGCCCCATCATGCAATCTGGCAGACGGGCAACCAATCCTTCCAGGTCCTGTGATCCCCATGGAACATAGTGAGCCTTTGTACCTTTTATTAGAATTTGATATTGTCCCTTGTATTTTTCAGGTCTTCTCAATGTTCTCCTATTCCGCAATCTTTCTTCCCTTACGCCTTGATTGCAATCTCCCCATATTTCAGCTGCTGCTCCTTCTTCCTCCTCTAGCTCTCTGCCTGTCAGCTGTCTTACCTCACTCTGCTCCCTCTCTATTTCTTCCTTTTCTCTCAATATTCTCCTCATCCTGTCCATTTCTTTCTCTATTAGTTCGTTTGTTGCTTCAATATCTGCCATTTCTTCATCTGAGAATTCTCCATCATCTCTCTTCATCATTTTCATTCTTCCCAATGCTTCCCTCAGCTCTCCATAGCAGTCCAATCTGTTTGGCTTGATTTCTGCCCTTCGCTTGATTCCTTCTGTTTTCTTTGAGTCTTTTTCCATCCTTTGGGAGGATGTAAACAAAGGTCTTTCTTCTTCCATTTCTATTTCTCCTTTTATTGATACTACTCCGGACACCTGGGGATATTGTCCACCAACATATGGTGGAGGTCCCACAGACCAATCTGCTTTCTTTTTGTTTGTTTTCTCATCATCTTTTCTCAACATGTGTCTGGCTTCTCGCATGTTCTTTAGCAATCCTTCTCCTTCCATTTTGAACATGTTGAGTACTTATTTTTCTCTGTTTCTTTTGGTGCTTCTCTTCTTTCCTGTGTCTTTTGCTTTATGGTTCTTTATCAGTGTTTCCATTTCCTCACACACCGAGACATCAAATGTTCACCCTTCTGGCCATTTGGTGCCCATTTTCCTGGTGCGTTTCTCCCATTTTTCAGATTTCTTCCTTGCCTAAGGGATACCTAGCACTCAGTATTTCTACCGCAGTTTTATTCATATTTATGGCCTATATTTTTAACTTCCTTTTTAATCTATTGTAGTATTCGTCCTATTTATTTATTTCTCCTTCTTAATTATTTTTATATTAGTATTCGCTTTTATTGTTAAATTATTTGTGCTTCTTTGATTATTGTTTGGTCATTTACATTTACATTTACGTCATTTAGCAGACGCTCTTATCCAGAGCGACTTACAAATTGGTGCATTCACCTTATAGCCAGTGGGATAACCACTTTACAATATCTTTTTTATATTTTTTTGGAGGGGTGGGGTAAGGGTGGGGGGGGGGGGGGGGGTAGAATGATTACTTCATCCTATCCCAGATATTCCTTAAAGAGGTGGGGTTTCAAGTGTCTCCGGAAGGTGGAGAGTGACTCCGCCGTCCTGGTGTCGTGAGGGAGCTTGTTCCACCATTGGGGTGCCAGAGCAGCGAACCGTTTTGACTGGGCTGAGCGGGAACTATGCTTCCGCAGAGGTAGGGGGGCCAGCAAGCCAGAGGTGGATGAACGCAATGCCCTCGTTTGGGTGTAGGGACTGATCAGAGCCTGAAGGTACGGAGGTGCCATTCCCCTCACAGCTCCGTTGGAAAGCACCATGGTCTTGTAGGAGATGCGAGCTTCAACTGGAATCCAGTGGAGAGTGCGGATGAGCGGGGTGACATGAGAGAACTTGGGAAGGTTGAACAACAGATGGGCTGCAGCGTTCTGGATGAGTTGTAGGGGTTTAATGGCACAGGCAGGGAGCCCAGCCAACAGCGAGTTGCAGTAATCCAGACAGGAGATGACAAGTGCCTGGATTAGGACCTGTGCCGCTTCCTGTGTAAGGCAGGGTCGTACTCTGCGAATGTTGTAGAGCATGAACCTACAGGATCGGGTCACCGCCTTGATGTTAGCGGAGAACGACAGGGTGTTGTCCAGGGTCACGCTAAGGCTCTTTGCACTCTGGGAGGAGGACACAACGGAGTTGTCAACCGTGATGGCGAGATATGTGGGAACTCCTTCAAGACTATTGGAAAAGCATTCAAGGTGAAGCTGGATGAGAGAATGCCAAGAGTGTGTGAAGCTGTCATCAAGGCAAAGGGTGGCTACATATATTTTTGATTTGTTTAACACTGGTTTGGTAACTACATGACTCCATATGTGTTATTTCATAGTTTTGATGTCTTCACTATTATTCTACAATGTAGAAAATAGTAAAAATAAAGAAAAACCCTTGGATGAGTAGGTGTGTCCAAACATTTGACTGGTACTGTATATACACACTACCATATAAATATATTTTATATTTGAGATATGTATATACATATATAATCATGAAATCAACAATCAAGTCTAGGAGGAAGATCAGCCGATAGAGATTAGTCTTAAGGCCTGCTTTCAAGGCCCCAAAAGTCTGAGCAGCCCTGAGATTCAGTAAGGGAGTTCCAAAGGTGGGTGCTTGGTAATTAAAGGCACGTTCCCTATTGTGCGGAGCCAGGTCCTTGGGGCAAGGTGCAGTTTGGCGTGGCTTTAACGCAGAGTGAGTGGAGGTTCAATGCCACAACTATGTGAGCTTATTACAGTATTATAGACACTATGTCTTGGGATTCTCTATGCTCTTCTATGTAGAAGAACCTCTTACATATTAATGACTATTCTGTAGCTTGTCAGCCTCATAGCGCAAAACATGATACATGTGCATCTCCATTTAAAAAGGGTTAGAAGTCCAAAATGCGGCAGCGTTACAGTGGGACTCATTGGGTTAATGATATATACACATTGATTCTTGAAGAATATAACTTATAAATGCGTCATGAGCTTGATTCAACTGACGTACCCCGTCATTGAACTGTCGACCAACATAACCAAACACTGTATAGCCTCAAAACATGGTTAAAACTACAATTTTGATCTCATGGATGGTCAGTCCTTGCATCCATAGCTCGGTCTATGAATTTCAAAGTGTTTACATTTCTCTAGGCCCATCCTTCAGCTTTTTAATTGTTTCAACTGCAGATTCTAGATTTAACCTCTGCGGGATCGGTGTCCCTATACAGGGACGGTTGCTGCTCAATATGCGATATGTGACTGTAATGAATACTCAGGGAGAAAAAGGTGTAGATTCACTCGCAGAGCGCGGCAGGTGTTTATTTCGCCTTCGCAACAGGCAGGAATCGTGGTCACAGGCAGGCAATGGTCATACACAGGTAGGCAAACAGGCAGGAAAATCAAAAACTAGTACTGAAGGCTGTAACTGGTTCTCACAAACGAGCTATAAAAAGGCTTAGTAGAGTCAAAACAAATATCTCATAAGGTACAATCAGTAAGAACTGAACTAAATAAGGAGCTGATGAGACCAGGTGAGTAACTAACACAGGTGAAATCAATGAACAAAAATGAAAGACAGGGCTATGTTCAAGAACACAAAGAAACAGGGCTACGTACAAGAACAAAAGGTGAACTAAGAAAACAAATACAGATTCTTACAGTACCCCCCTCAACCCCTGGCTGGTAAGGGCAGTGAGGGGAGCGGCAGTAGAACTGATTTCCGAATGATCCGGCGATAGAAGTTGGAGAACCCAATGAAACGTTGGTGTTCTTTAACGGCGGTGACTTTGTTCTCATCCGTGCTGACCCCTCCAGGTGTCAGTACAAAACCGAGGAAGTTTACTGAGGTTACATGGAAGGTGCTCTTTTCAGTCTTCACATAAAGGTTACGGTCAAGGAGCCGTTGAAGAACCCTTTGTACATGCTGTATGTGTTCCTTCAGGGAGTGGGAGTAAATCAGGATGTCATCAATGTAGACGATGAGAAAGCGGTTGATCACATCCTGGAAAACCTTGTTCATAAAGGATTGGCGTTAGTAAGGCCGTAGGGCATGACCAGGTATGCATAGTGCCCTCGTGCGGTGATAAAGGCTGTCTTCCATTCGTCGCCTTCACGTATACGGACAAGGTTATAAGCACTCTGCAGGTCGAGTTTTGTATAGATGTTGGCGTGGCCCACTTGTTCAAGGTTCGCTGGGATCAGAGGAAGAGGGAAACGGTTTTTGACCGTAACATCATTCAGGGAACGTTAATCAATACATGGACGAAGACCATCGTCCTTTTTTCCAACAAAGAAGAAGATGGACGCAGCCGGGGAATAAGAAGGACGAATGAAACCGTTTTGGAGTGCTTCATCAATGTAGTTCTCCATTGCCTCATTTTCCGGTATAGATAGGGGGTAAACACGGCCCTTCGGTGGGGACACTCCAGGGAGTAAGTCAATAGCACAGTCTCCTGGGCAATGTGGTGGCAGAGTGGAGGCCTTGATTTTGCTGTACTGGGCGTATTCAGATGGTATGGTGGGTGGCTCTGCAGAGGCAGAGTCCTCAATGGTGGTGGCTCTGCAGGGTAGGCTGAGACAACTGGTGAAGTAGGTAGAAGACCAGGACAGTAGTTCACCTTGTCGTGATGGCAGGGTCGTGACGACAAAGCCAGGGTTGTCCGAGGATGAGTGGTTGTTTGGGAAATGAGAGTTCCATGAGTTGAATGGTTTCGGTGTGGAAGACTCCAGTCTGGAGGGTAACGCTCTGTGTCAGGTGCGTAATGAAGCCTGTACCCAATGGCTGCCCATCCAGGGTGTTAATCCTTAAGGGAGGCGTGACAGGTGTAAGATCAATGTCAAGCTCTTGTACTAGCTGGTGATCGATAAAACTACCTGCTGCTCCCGAATCTATCAAGCCCTCTACGTACTTTGTAACTGTTATGTGGGCAGCTTGTCTCTCCCTTTTCTGTTTCCCTTCCTCCTTGTTTTGTCCCCTCTTTGTCTGTTGTATCTGTATGTGTGTTTGTCCCCTTTATGTGGGTGTGTCTGGAGTGGATCAGGGGGCGTGCTCAGGATCTGCCTCTCCTGTGCAGCTGCGGGTTGTTTCCAGTGATTCCTGCCTACGCAGCTGCATCCTATTCTCTCATCAACCTGCACTACTTATTCCTGGGCATGGCTCTCCACCGGCGCCAGATCGTTGTTCTTACCAGAGCGGTAACTTGGCTCACCAGTATAATTATTTTGTCTTTGTCTTCAGCCTGGCTCTGTACTCTCCATAACTTGTCGTTTGTTTTGTCTTCAGTGCAGACATACCTCCCAACCTGCCTGCCTGCCTTCCCGCCTGCCGGTCTGCCTGCCTGCCTCAGCCTCTCCTTCCTCCGGAGCCGACTAGCCCACTCTGTTCCTTTTCTTCAGTTGATTTTTGGACTAAGACACTTTGAACTTTTATTAAAATAATTTTTTTTTCTTCCACTCCCTTTGTCGTGTTTGTTTCTCTGAGTGCTGGGTTGAACCAGAGCCTAACAGAACGATCTGGCCATGGACCCAACAGAGAAACAGCATGGGGCAAACGAAGACAGCTTCCAACAAGCTATCCAGGCTCAAGGAACGTTGCTAGGACAGCATGACCAATTGATTCGGACTCTTGTGGAAGATAATCATCAACTGCTGAACCAGGTGACTCAGTTAATTACACAAGTCTCTAAATTGTCTGTTATCAGTTCTCCATCTCTCTCTGACCCCCAGTTTGATGCACCCCAAGTTGTTTCCTCGGACATTAGGCAGGCTTCGTTCCGTCGGGAACCCCCTGTCACGTCGCCTGAACCGTTCAATGGAGAATTGGACAAGTGCCGGGGATTTTTGCTTCAGTGTGACTTGATTTTTCGGCAGAGACCACTGTCGTTTTCTACTGATTCATCTAAGGTACATTATGTTCTGGGGCTGTTAAGAGGGAAAGCTCTGGTTTGGGCTGAGGCTGTGTGCTCAGATCAAACTTTGACTGGATTGACTTTTGCTGATTTTTCTGCTAAATTGAAGACTGTTTTTGACCATCCTGACCATGTGGGTAATTCCTCCAAGATACTTTTTAATTTGAGGCAGGGTTCTAACAGTGTGGCAGAGTACTCTATTGAGTTCTGGACGTTGGCAGCGGACTCCAAGTGGAACAATGTGGCACTTCAAGGAGCATTTCTAAACGGTTTGAATGAAGCCATTAAGGATGAACTGGCTGCTCGTGATGAGCCACATGATTTACATTCTCTCGTTTCCCTGTCCATTAAGCTAGACAATCGGTTGCGGGAGAGGCGTCGGGAGAGAGGCGATCGGCCACATCTAGGAGGACGAGTTCCCCAGCCTTCAACCACTCGAGTGTCGCCTCCCCGGAGCCGGCAGCTTCTTGTTCCTGATCCCATCCCGAGCACAGAGGAGGAACCAATGCAAGTGGGTCGAGCTCAACTACCTCCAGCAGAGCGGCAACGGCGCCTCCAGGCAGGTGAGTGCCTGTACTGTGGAGACGACACACACATTCTGGCTACATGCTCTAAGCGACCCAAAAGACAAGGCTCACTCGTTACGGTGGGTCTACTTGCGAGCCCAGAGTTAGATCCGGAACCCGTCATTCCCCGATTATAAGTACCTGTAACCTTACGTTTCCAGAGTCATTCCCTGCCACTCTCAGCTCTCATAGACTCAGGTGCAGAAGACAACTTTATTAGCCACCAGTTCGTTACACAAGCTCGTATCCCCATGGAGCCACTACCTACCCCCATTCGGGTCACAGCCCTTGATGGGCGCCTCCTTGCGGAGATAACTCATCAAACCACCCCCGTTTCCCTAGTGATTTCTGGCAATCATTGTGAAAGCATTCAGTTAAGAGTTATGTCTGGCTCAGCTACCTCCCTAATCCTTGGCTTCCCCTGGTTGGCTCTTCACAACCCACAAATTGATTGGACACGTCACACCATTCTCAGTTGGAGCACTAACTGCCATTCAGAGTGCCTTAGATCAGCGGTTCCCCCCACTAAGTGTAACCCAACTCATCCCTCAGCTCCTCTCGATCTGTCATCTGTCCCCAAAGAATACCATGACTTAGCGGAGGTTTTCAGTAAGGATAAGGCTCTGTCTCTACCACCACATAGGCCTTATGATTGCCCTATTGAACTGCTTCCTGGTGCTCCCTTGCCCTCTAGTCACTTATACAATCTGTCCCGACCGGAAAGAGAGGCAATGGAGCAGTATATTGGGGATTCTCTGGCCTCGGGCATAATCCGTCCCTCGTCGTCTCCTTTGGGTGCAGGGTTCTTTTTCGTGGAAAAGAAAGACAAGTCGTTACGCCCCTGTATCGATTTCAGGGGTTTAAACAACATAACTGTTAAAAACAAGTATCCCCTTCCACTCATCAACTCAGCTTTTGAACCTCTGCATGGCGCCACAGTGTTTTCCAAGCTCGACCTCAGGAATACTTATCACCTTGTCCGAATCCGAAAGGGAGATGAGTGGAAAACCGCTTTCAACACTCCACTGGGACATTTTGAGTATTTGGTCATGCCCTTTGGGCTCTCAAATGCCCCTGCTGTTTTCCAAGCCATGGTGAACGATGTTCTTAGGGATTTTTTGAACCGTTTTGTCTTTGTATACCTGGATGATATTCTTGTTTTTTCCAAGTCACCCGAGGAGCATGAGTCACACGTCCGTCAAGTCCTTCAACGGCTCTTGGAGAACAAGCTGTACGTCAAAGCAGAAAAGTGTGAGTTCCACAAACAGTCTACATCGTTCCTTGGATTCATAATTGAGAGCGGGCAGGTGAAGGCGGACCCCGAGAAGATCCGGGCAGTGACGGAATGGCCCACACCCACCACCCGTAAGCAACTTCAACGATTTTTGGGCTTTGCTAACTTCTACCGTAGATTCATTAAGGGTTTTAGTAGAGTGGTGGCACCCCTTACAAGACTCACATCCCCAAAAGTCCCTTTTCTGTGGTCCCCTGAGGCGGAGCAGGCAGTAGGGGTTTTGAAGGAACTGTTTTCCACCTCCCCCGTGTTGATACACCCCAATACCTCTCTGCAGTTTGTTGTGGAGGTGGACGCGTCGGACTCAGGTGTGGGAGCAGTCCTCTCCCAGCGCTCCCCCACTGACCAAAAGCTTCACCCCTGTGCTTTTTTCTCCAAGAAATTGTCACCCACAGAACGGAATTACGACGTTGGAAACCGGGAACTGCTGGCGGTCAAGCTTGCACTGGAAGAATGGCGGCACTGGCTGGATGGAGCTGAACTGCCGTTTGTGGTCTGGACTGACCACAAAAACTTGGCTTACATCCAAGCCACTAAGAGACTCAACTCACGCCAAGCCAGATGGGCCCTGTTTTTTAGTAGGTTTAACTTTATTCTTACATACAGACCGGGGTCAAGAAATGTTAAACCAGATGCTTGTCCCGCCAGTTTGCTGACCCTTCGGAGACCAGCGAGCCTGAGGCAGTCCTGCCTTCCTCATGCGTCGTGGCGGCTGTTCAGTGGGAGATCGAGTCTCTTGTGAAGACTGCACTTGCCACGGACCCGGGACCGGGTGATGGACCTCCCAACCTACTCTTTGTTCCCGAGACGGTCCGGTCTCAGGTGTTGCAGTGGATTCACACCTCCCGTTTTGCTGGTCACCCTGGGATGAGACGCACGTTGACGCTGCTTAGGAGACATTTTTGGTGGCCTTCAATGGAAACTGACGTTCGGGCTTTTGTGGCAGCCTGTTCAACCTGTGCTCGGGGCAAAGCCTCCCATCAGTCCCCTTCGGGGCTGCTGCTACCCCTCCCAGTTCCCAGCTGTCCCTGGTCCCACACTGCCATGGATTTTGTCACCGGCCTACCCAAGTCTGAAGGTAATGATACTATACTTACCATTGTGGACAGATTCTCTAAATCTGTCCACTATATAGCATTACCAAAATTACCGTCTGCCAGTGAGACAGCGGACCTCCTAGTCCAACATGTATTCCGTCCCCATGGAATACCTGTGGACATCGTATCTGATAGAGGCCCACAGTTTACTTCCCGTGTTTGGAAGGTTTTCTGTTCTGCTTTGGGTGCTTCCGTTAGTCTGTCCTCAGGGTTTCATCCCCAGACCAACGGTCAAACAGAAAGAGCCAATCAAAACCTCGAAGCAACCCTTCGTTGTGTGGCTGCTCAACATCCATCATCCTGGGCCAAACATCTGCCCTGGATAGAGTACGCCCACAACTCCCTCACCACCTCTGCCACCGGTCTTTCACCCTTCGAGGTTACCATGGGTTATCAACCCCCTCTGTTTCCTGCTCAGGAGAAGGAATTGGCTGTTCCTTCGGTTCAGGAGAACCTCCGCCGCTGCCAGAGAGTGTGGAACGACGCTCGGGAAGCATTGCTTCGGACCACCGACAGGAACAAGACAACAGCGGATAGGAGCAGGACTCCCGCACCTGTGTTTCATCCTGGTCAAGAGGTTTGGCTGTCATCAAAGAACGTACCTCTTCGTACCAAATCACGCAAGCTGTCTCCTCGGTACCTGGGTCCGTTTGTGGTGGAGTCCATCATTAACCCCGCTGCGGTTCGTTTGAAGTTGCCTTCAGCCATGAAGATACACCCTACTTTCCACGTCTCCCAACTGAAACCTGTGTCCTCCAGCCTTTTGTGTCCGCCGGCTGATCCACCTCCACCTGTTCGCCTCATTGACGACCATCCGGCCTACACCGTCAGTAGGCTCCTGGACTCTCGGAGGCGGGGTAGGGGTCTCCAATACCTAGTCGATTGGGAAGGTTATGGACCAGAGGAGAGGTCTTGGGTCCCTAAGCGTTTTGTGTTGGATCCTCAGCTGATCACGGACTTCCATCACGACAACCCTGACAGGCCTGGTGGGTCGCCAGGTGGCGACCATTGAGGGGGGGGTACTGTTATGTGGGCAGCTTGTCTCTCCCTTTTCTGTTTCCCTTCCTCCTTGTTTTGTCCCCTCTTTGTCTGTTGTATCTGTATGTGTGTTTGTCCCCTTTATGTGGGTGTGTCTGGAGTGGATCAGGGGGCGTGCTCAGGATCTGCCTCTCCTGTGCAGCTGCGGGTTGTTTCCAGTGATTCCTGCCTACGCAGCTGCATCCTATTCTCTCATCAACCTGCACTACTTATTCCTGGGCATGGCTCTCCACCGGCGCCAGATCGTTGTTCTTACCAGAGCGGTAACTTGGCTCACCAGTAGAATTATTTTGTCTTTGTCTTCAGCCTGGCTCTGTACTCTCCATAACTTGTCGTTTGTTTTGTCTTCAGTGCAGACATACCTCCCAACCTGCCTGCCTGCCTTCCCGCCTGCTGGTCTGCCTGCCTGCCTCAGCCTCTCCTTCCTCCGGAGCCGACTAGCCCACTCTGTTCCTTTTCTTCAGTTGATTTTTGGACTAAGACACGTTGAACTTTTATTAAAATAATTTTTATTTCTTCCACTCCCTTTGTCGTGTTTGTTTCTCTGAGTGCTGGGTTGAACCAGAGCCTAACAGTAACCCCCTTCACGGTTATCAATACTGGGATGGAGAATTGCTTCTGGGAGATATTTAGAAATACAGACCCACCTACCTGCATGGCAGCGGAGGGACCCCTCTAATCTCTCCGTGGGGGGCGAACAGGGCAATGGCTGAGTAGATTATCTTTCCCTCCACAGTATAGGCAGATCCCTTCTTGGATCCGCCTTTGACGTTCGATACACGGGTGATGAGCATGACCCAACTGCATGTCTCTGGAAGATTCGGGCGGGATGACGGAATTGTGGAAAGAGAAGGTTTCGGGTTCCTGGGTGGCAGAGTTCTTCGGCGGTGATGAGGTGGTCGATGGAGATGGACATACGAATGTATTGATTTAAATCCTGAAGGTCACCTCTACAGGCCAACTCCGCCTGAAGTTCCCTGAAATACCTCTTTGAAGAGGGTGTGGAAATGGGTCTTGGATCCGAGTTTTGTGCTTTTGGCAGTCCATATGGCGGTGGCCCAATCCAGGGCTTTGCCTGTGAGTAGAGACACATCAAAATCCACCCTGCTGTTGTTGGTGGCGAAGTTAGTGGGGTTGTGCTTAATGTACTGTATATACCAGGCTTATATGTGTTGTGTGTGCTATAGCCTGGAGACGACATTACACAAAGAAACACTTACCTTGATAAAAGCCCCCAACCTAAAGATGTGGCTTTCTTCTGGAACCAAGTTACATGTTCTTCAGTACACAAAAATGCACACAACAGAAACGAGCCATACCTTGCGGTGTTGGGCACATCAGGTCTTTGACACATTCACTCACTCCCCTGCTGAAAGATCAGCCACAAAATGTTGCCACCATTGTAACAGGTTGAAATCAAGCCCTGGTCTCCAGAAGTGGAATTCCTGGTATGGTGGTCTAAGGTTGGACTACTCCAAATCATGTTGGCTCTGAAACACACACAAGCTTTGCAGGTCCATCAACCCATTGAAATACCTCTCAAACACCCTACACTAACATGTGGTCAAGAGAGAACCTTCATAAATCAGCATAATGTTAATAATCTATTTATTGGCACTTTATGTAGTGTCCTGTAATACTAAGTTTGAAGTGAGACACCTTCGGTCATTCATAACACATCCATAAAGACTCTATATCGCATGACGCCGTACTTAATTTAAAGTCAGACAGGAGTGTGATTAGTGTAGCTTGTCCCTGAGCTGGCGGACGAATGGTGCTTGCCTCTCTGCCTGCAGGAGGTACTGCATGTTGGTTCCAACCTTCAAAGTAACAACAAAGAATGTTAGCAGGTCTGTTAGGAAATGCCTTTGTCACACCATCTGGATAAGGGCATTTCTGTGCTGCGCCAGAAACTCCATTCGATTCGTATTATCACATTCCTCTTTAATTTACAAATCTCATGATTTGACTGTGAGACGTGGATGTATCTAAGGGGATTTTTATTTAGCTGAGCCTGCTAGCTAGCTAATTACATTTCGGGCTAGTTAGCAATTGCTGTAAAGTCACCGAAATTATTTGAAATAACGACTGAGGTAGCTAGAGTATGTAATCTAACTCAACACTTAACTACTACAAACTAATTTAAATTCTAATAAATAAATGTTAACTTACTTGTTTTTTGCTGTCGAGTTGGCACCACAATTGGGCATTTGATTTGCGAACTCATCACATTATCAGCGTCTCGTCAGCAACACTAAAAAAGTACTTCCGGGTCATGACATTTTGAAAAATGTAAAAAGTGCCCCCCTGTATTTATTAATGATATATGAAAAATAATTGTCTAAGCAGTAACATATTGGTTCATATTTCAGTGACACCCTCATTGAATGTGGGTTTTAAAACATGTTCCATGGTCATATAAATGCCCCCAATGTGAATCACTGGAATACATATTGGCTTATAGAGCAAAAACTGTTCTGCGTGCCGCAGTAAAAGTATTGTAGGGAGTACTCAGTAGGGTCTGTAGAATGTATATATGGTGTCATTTCATGGGGCTCTGAATAATACGGAGTGTTGCTGGCCTTTTACTCCACCCATTCCATTGGTGGCCACACTGCGAATCACTCGACATGGAATACATAATCATCACATGTATTCTGTGTAGCTCAGTTGATAGAGTATGGCGTTTGCAACGCCAGGGTTGTGGGTTCGATTCCCACAGGGGGCCAGTATGAAAATGTATGCACTCACTAACTGTAAGTCGCTCTGGATAAGAGCGTCTGCTATTTGACTCAAAAGTTAAATGTAAATGTGCGATTACTGCACTACAGAAAAAACCCTCTAACCAAACAATAATGTAGGGCATGGGCAACTACACAAAAAATGTAAACTCTGTTTGATTTTTCACAGACCTCAAAAGTCTTCCCCTGATGTGGTTTAAGCATTGTTGTGAACAAATAAAATCAAATGTTGTTGTTTTTCCACCAAAAAAGTGTGAAAAAACTAGGGGAAAACCTGAAAACAATGGGGGAATCAAAAACCTGGAAAAACTAAACTGAGATGAATTGAATTTAGGAAAGAATACTGAAGTAGGCAAAACATATTAACTCACCAAAGTGTTTTGCTTTCCAGGACTGCACTTTAGAGTGTGTCACCCTGCAAATCAAATCAAATCAAATGGTATTGGTCACATACACATATTTAGCAGATGTTATTGCAAGTGTAGCGAAATGCTTGTGTTCCTAGCTCCAACAGTGCAGTAGCATCTAACAATTCACAACAATACACACAAATCTAAAAGAAGAAACCCTCCATTTGTGATGCGTCAATTTAATATGATGTAAGGCCTTTAGCAAGTGATGCTTATGCCACACTTTATGAAGCACAGGTTTATGTCATATTTGACATATTGGGTTATGTCACACAGTTATGCCACATTAATGAACCCTTTATAAAGCATGACATTATAGACGATTTGTAACACATTTATGTAGTGTTCATGAAGGCTTTATGAAGCCTTTATAAGCTGCATTTGTCATTTAAAGCGAGACCGATATTCCTACCTAAATAAATGTGCATTTTAACAGAGGGTCTAGCACATGTCTCCTATTTGTCTTCCTCTTCAGTCCAGGATGCATTGTATGATGCCGTTGCGAATGTTAGACTCCACTGTGAGGCAAATCGATCTGCAGGTTGAACATGGTGAGATTGTAGACTCCTAAAATAGTGCAGTTTGTTTAGGCAATTTTACACCCAGCCCATTGAGAGAGCATTGCATTGTGGATTTTGTAGTCGACTTGAGCTGAAACAGATTTCCACAACAATTTTCACATGATGCTACCAACCTTATAATAATGCCAAAATGAAACATTAGTTTAAAAAAAACTATTGTTCTCACATATTAGTATTATTTAACACTGTAAATTATAGGAATGAGTGGTTTAGGGTGGATTTTATAAGAAAGGCTTTGAACGCCCTGGAGGGCCTGTGTTACAAAATGGTATCTGTTTTTCTCTATATGGTTTCCTTGACGCTGAAAATATCTAATTTTCCCAGGTGTTGGTGACCATTTGCATATCACACCATGGCAGACGTTTTTTTTTATGAAATCTCACAAGTATAAGAATCAAGTGAGGAGCTGAGTTTAGGAGGTCATCATGGATTAAAAATAGTCTGTCTCCATTTTGGATTTAGAATACATGTAATCAATGTATTATTTTTAATTTGAATGTAATAATTTAAATGCGTGCATGATACAAATTATAATATTGTTTAAATTAGGCTATGAATTTTGTTATCAGTACAATGTATGGCTGTCTATATTGGTGAGTATACTGTAGATGTGGGCAAAACTATCAATGAATCAACAAGTCAAGGAATTATCCATTTAGGTTGTTCTTTGTGATTTCATTGTTTTAACTTATATGTAAGCTACAGAAGGAAGATTTGCTCCTCTTCTTCAAACATTGACAGCACATCTTTACCAACTCCCAGGACCATGGAGAACTCTACTCACTTCAAGGTGTTTAGGCTTGCTGCATACGGTGATATCGGACAATTGAAGTATTTCTACTTTGCTGTAGTAACTGTATTATATTTTGTCATCATTCTTGCCAATTCTTTCCTTATTGGAGTTATCTGCATTGAAAGAAGCCTTCATGAACCCATGTATCTGTTTCTATGTGCTTTGTTTGTTAATCAGTTGTATGGGAGCACTGGTTTGTTTCCTGCTCTCATGTTTAACTTGCTCTCTGACACACATGATATTTCCCTTCTTTATTGTTGTCTCCAGATTTATGTGGTGTACACATACGTTCTAACAGAATTTAGTAATATAGCAGTTATGTCCTATGACAGGTACATTGCTATTTGTTATCCTCTAGAATATAACAATATTATGACACCTAAAATAATTTCTGTCTTAATTCTACTGTCCTGGGTGTATTCTTTTTTCACCAACGCCATCATTATCTCCCTGACTTTGCGACTGCAATTTTGTGGTAACGTTCTAGACAGAGCGTATTGTGACAACTATTCCGTAGTCAAGCTTGCATGTTCAAATACTACGCTGAATAACATATCGGGTCTTCTTGTCACTGTGCTTCAATTTTCTTGTACTATATGTCCTACCATATATTCATATGTAAGAATTCTACAAATATGTTTAAAGTCTTCAAAAGAGACGAAACAGAAAGCATTTAACACCTGTACACCACATATAGCCTCTTTGCTGAACTTCACCTTTGGCTGTTTATTTTTGATTCTACAAAGCAGATATGAAACTGCACATCTTTCACCTATACTTCGCACTATTTTATTTGTTTATTTTCTGATATGTCCACCACTTTTCAATCCTTTTATGTATGGCATAAGGATGGTTAAAATCAGGCAGGCTTGTAAAAAGGTACTAGGCCTTAACTCAATATTACAAAAATAAACAATCAGGTACTTTTTTAGGGTTATGTGTTTTGTTACTTATAGTTGCTATCATTGAATCTACTAATACAGGAGTCATTTTGGCATCATTTCTCTGTAGCCCAAAGATTATTTAAAAAATTGCATCAAGTTTATTATGTATTGTAACTGAGAATGGTTTGTGTCATGTTAGCTAATTAACTGCATAACTATGGAGCATCAAAGGGAACTGCCCTCCCTACCTTCAGGCTATGCTCAAACAGATGCTAAGTGGGATCTTTGGGATGACCCTACTACACCCCAACCCATTCTGTGACCTTTGGTCTATTGGCCCACCTAACGTTAGGACAGCTGTGTCCCTGCCCATCTTCCTAAAACGTCTGTCATCGTGAAAATGATTTATTTTGTTGCAGTTTTCAAGTTAATTTCCTGCAGTTCTACACATTTTGCTATGAGGCAGAGATAAAGGGAACATGAAGGTTGTATAGTGCAGGTGTTTCT